TTTTTGAGGTTATCTTCTGGTTGGAGGCAATAGTAAATAAGTATAATATAAATACAGGTTATCTTATGACTTATTGAAACTGATTAGCTGTCATTCTTAAACGTACATAGGGAGCAAGAAAAATTAAATATAAGAAAATATAAACCATTAAAATTAGCAAAATTTGGCATTTTGTAATAAACGCTTATTTAATAATAAAAATATTTCCAATTGTTTTTTAGTTTATATGTAAATAAAACTGCAAAATGTCCTTGGAAGATATTTTATTTTTCTTGCTCTTGTTTAAAAATGACAGCTAATTAGTTTCAGCAACTTCTCATGGGATTCCCTGTATATATTAAAAGTATAAATAAATTATATACTAAATAAATTATATTTTAAAGGTATACAATAAATATTACATTGTATTATAACTTTATATTTAAGAAATGTAGAAAATGATTGTATTGTGGAAAGAACTTTTGTCATAATGACATTTTATTAATTTAAATAATAGAAATATATGAATAGTGGCAGATCTACATTTGAGCTTAACATTTTTGTGCAACTCTTTTTAGAAGAAAAAAATTTATAATGAATAATAATGAAAGAAGCGCTTATGCTAAAAGTTATCTCTTAGATATACTTATATGTATAAAATATATAATCAACATAAACTATAATTCATATAACATAATTATTATGTCAACAAAGAAAAATTAAAATATTTTAAATTATTCTTAAATTAAAGTTAAGAAAAAAACTGAAAAATATTATTTAACAAGTGGTTCATCTAGAATTTTAAAAACTTGTCGTTTTGAAGTTAAGGTTTCATTAGCTCAACAATAGATCTGCCTATATATATATATATATATGAGATGTGTCTTTATATTTTGACAATTATTTTTCACTAAATAGAAGTACATTACCAAAAGTAATTTTTGGTATGAAGTTACATAACGTGGCAGAAGTATAATACATCTCAGGATTGGCCTATAACATAAAAAAGAATGTTAAAATAAAACCCATAAACAAAATATTTGTATTTTAATACAGAATTAGAAATTAGTTTCTAAATTTTATACTAACCAGTAGAACTTCTTTGTTGAATTGTGATTTTTGAAATAAAACATTTTCATTAGTAAATGTCAAACCAAATAAATGGCAGTCTGCCTGAACTCTATTTATATCTTTGTAGAATAAAAGTTCTTGTAGTTTTAATCCTGGGAATGTCAACACTTTGCTATTGTAACCAGAACTCATAATTTGTAAAACACATCTGTAATGAGTGATATTTATAATTTAATAGATTAGATTAATTTTATATAATTGGATTAATTATTAATTATCTAGTAATTTTTATTATTATTCAATCATTTTTGCATAAGAATCTTTGTATTATAATAAAACACAGAATAATAAATACCTTCTAAAACTCTGTAGATTACAAAAAGAAGCACAAACCAATAGTGGAGGTAACTGTTGAATAAGTCGACAAACATGGACATAGTTTCTTAGATACCAAGCAAGTGATATCTTTATGGCTAATTTGACTGCTGGTGTATTTCTATTAAAATATATTAAAAATAAAAGTTAATATTAAATTTAGATTTGTATTGCGTAAAGATTTGTAATTTCAATTAATTAACTTTTTAACTTTTTCAATAGAAAACTAACGACTTACTTTAAATCTGGTGAAAGCGCAAGAGCTCTTCTTAAAGCCTCTTGATCTCCAATATGAAGAAGGATGTACAATGCTTCCATTTCTGATCGATTATCGCTTAAAATAAGTTTTTCAAAATCTTTATAGAAGCTTGTGTTATCCGTTGTATTTTTACAATCTCGTTGATCATACAAAACTAGTAGTTGCTTGATGCATTCTAACAAATGTTTATTATTTATTTTTGCATCAAATTGCGAAATGTTTCTTTCACATAATCTAGAAAAAAAACTTGTATGATTTTTTTGAATTCTTAAAGTGTATTTTTGTAATTTGTACCTTTGTGCAGCATAAGTATGAAATCGGACAATTGGTTCTAGAAGGAGGATATTTGCAGTAATATCGATTCTTTGGATCACAGCATCTTGACGTATTGATCTTAATCGATCAAATACAAAATCATATATTAACACCCAATCTAAATCTGTTTGTGTGATTATGCTGGAACATTGTAATATATTCTATATTAAATAATATTTCATAATTATAATCGTTTCATTAAAAATGCAATGTGATATTTTCTAATGGCAATATTTAGCAATAGTAACATATATTGCCATAGATAAATCATTCATTAATTCAAATTAAAATTACTTGGTGAACAAATATCGGATAGTGGATAACAATACATATGGTGGACGCAACAAATCCAGATCTGTCATGGTTTGACCAGCAGCAGAACGACTAAAGCACTTTATGGTTTTGGTAGGATCAGCTTTCGGCTTTCTCATGTGTTTTGTATTTTCATCAATTTCATATCTGTGTAATAAACCTTCCCTTTCTCGCCTAAATAAGAAAATGTAAAAATGTAAACTAGATTTCTTTTTATTTCATATTTTATTATATTTTATGACAATATAAAAATATATTGAAAGGTAAACAACCATATTTTCAATTGTAATTGTAATGAACATTTCTCCTATTATAAGTGAAAAAAGCGGGACGACATATTAATATTAAATGTCCAAATTAAGAAAAAATTAAGATATAAGAATTTTATTGACTAGTTTTTATTTAGAAATTTTTTACAGGAACTTACATCCGTCGTTCTTTTTCTGGACACATTGAAAGACATCTTCCCAATATAGAATCGACAGACATCATTGTATTTATTGTTTATACAAACGTGTGATGATATTACATTATTCGTATTATTATTATGAGTTTATGTTCAAAATAAAAACATTGCTCTTGATCTAATGTTTTGATTTAACCTCCTATACGAATCCGTCAAATTTGTCTCAGATAACACTAGAATCACGCCAGAATGGAAACGCTTTGAAATATATGATTGTGATACTAAAATGGAGACGCGGCCTCGAAACGAGACCAGAAGACAGATACAAAGCAAATACTGTTTTTTTTTCTGTCTTGTTTGTATCGAATCGACAACAAAGACAATATTGCTTGCTTGTTTCTTCGATTTATGTATATCAGAAGATGGAAATTCAGATTTTCATATTTAATTATTACATTACTTATGATTAAATTTTATAAATTAACATTAATTTACTTTTAAGAAGATAAAACAAGACGACGGAAACCATTTCAAAATTTCATAACTTTATAATTAATACTGTTAAAACCAATTAAAATGTACTTTAGACTAGAAATTTAACTTTTAATATTTAATTAACAAATTATTAACAATTGGTATTTTAAATTTTATAACAAAATAACCTTCTGGAAACATGAATAATTTAAGAATTTTATTAGCACTTCAATACTATCAACAGTAGCCTAGAAGCGAAAATAAACATCTAAAGAGATTGAGATTATTCTTAGGAACGGCTCGAAACGCGCCATTTTAGACAGGATTTTAAGAATTTGTTAACAGGAACACATGATGATATAAGAGTTCGCTCGAGTATCAGGCGGGCGGAGGTGTGTCTTAGCGCTCTCTGAGCTCGGCAGAGGGGAGCGTAGGCAGTGGAGAGGTTTCTTCGGATTGGCTGTTGCACTTGCATGGCTGTCAGGGCTTCTAAGGCAACAGCCAATCAAAAGAGAGCTTTAGTCACTCCTCTATATTGCAAACTCAGGGCTAACAGCCAATCCAAAGAGAGCTCTAGTCACTCCTCCATATTGCGAACTCAAGGCCAACAGCCAATCCAAAGAAAGCTTCCCACTGCTTATGCTCCCCTCTGCCGAGCTCAGAGAGCGCTAAGACACACCTCCGCCCGCCTGAGGCTGGCGTCACATAGAACCCGTAATCCGTAATCCGCACCGGAAGTCCGCAAAAGTTACTAGGGATTGCGTCCGTAACGTTACGTATGTTTTTTCTCCTTGTGTCCCATGGAGCCGTAAATACACACGTAACGGTATTACTATTTTTTATTTAACAAATTATAATTGTTTATTTGTATTTTATTCATAAGAAAACTACAGAATATATTATAATTTTAACAAAAATTTTAATTAAATCGTCAAATTTAGTTAAATAAATAAAATTAAAAAAAGCATTACTAGTAATAACTAGTAACTTTTAGTAACTTTTACGGAAATTTCATGGAATTACGGCTCCATGGGACACAAGGAGATAAAACACACGTAACGTTACGGACGCAATCCCTAGTAACTTTTGCGGACTTTCGGTGCGGATTACGGATTACGGGTTCTATGTGACGCCGGCCTGATACTCGAGCGAACTCTTATATCATCATGTGTTCCTGGTAACAAATTCTTAAAATCCTGTCTAAGGTGGCGCGTTTCGGGCTGTTCCAACGGATAACCTCAATCTCTTTAGATGTTTATTTTTGCTTCTAGGTTACTGTTGGTAGTGTTGAAGTGCTAATAAAATTCTTAAATTATTTATATGTTTCTAGAAGGTTAGTTTGTTGTGAAATTTAAAATACCAATTGTTAATAATTTGTTAATTAAATATTAAAAGTCAAATTTCTAACTTTGATAAGATGATTATACGATACTAAAGTACATCTCAATCGGTTTTAACAGTTCTAAAGTTATGAAATTTTTGAAATAGTTTCCGTCGTCTTGTTTTACCTTCTTAAAAATATATTAATGTTAATTAATGTATAAAATTTAATCGGAAGTAATGTAATAATTAGATATTCATGAAGATCCGAATTTCCATCTTTTGATATGCGTAAACGAGCAATATCGTCTTCTTTGCGATTCGATAGAACGAGACAGAAAAACTACATCGCAAAGCGTACATGTAGGCAATTCTCGATTATGTACGTTATTCCTGGTTTATCCCCACTATAGTGTACGCGGAACCGCGTTTTTATTCTGTCATCATAGTATAATAACACTGGCTGACGAATATTGACAGGCATATTTTGATAGGCATCTTGTAACTGAATCTTATAACAGAAATTTTCCACAAAGGGTATTCAAATAGTTCCAAACATTGTCTGAGAATATTATTGATCACAATGAGCACTACGGCGGCAAGGCAGTCTCAAGAAGTCCTGGATCCTTCACCACGCACAAGGCATTCACGTCTTGAGGATCCGTTGGCGATTCCCGCCAATTCGATAACGGGTACGCTTTGTATTCCAAATATAATCGTGTTGCATAATTTTCCTGATTTAGTATATAATCATTATATTTATCATAATTCATTTTTGTCACATCTAATTTATGAATATAATTCAATTATTAATTAATACTGAATTAATTACTCACTATTAATTATTTAAATATTGGACTTTAGTGGATTTTGGCAGCTCTATAATCAATCGTAATTTGTCTGAAAAAACTGTTTTTATTTAGAATTTATTTCCAACAGAAATATATATTGCTTATTTTATCTTGTCTACACATTTCGACTTGATAGATATTGGAAATTGTTTTGGCAGTTTATGTAAAAATGTTTCAGTCGTGACTCCCAATACGGATGTAAGAACGGTACAGAATTGGTTGAATAGACTTCCCGATGGCTGGAATTCACCGCAAAGTCCAGATGAGCTTGTCATTCAAAAAAGAGGTCGACGTAAGTCCATAGTATGGTCACCTGATTTTGACACCTACAAAAGACGCAGTCTGCTTAGGTATAATCTATTAGTATGTGTTTATTGTAAGAAAATTAAAGTTTTTAATTTCTAATAATTTTTTTTGTTTTATCAGCTTGAGTGCTAGAGATCACACACCAGTTAAAAATTCAATAACATCAGACATGACATTTAGAGATTCAGCTAGAAAAAGGCTGTCTCTTACAGATACTCATCAATCTGAGTTTTCTACCCCGAAAAGTAGGAAAATATTATCCTCTGGAATGTCATTAGATACCACAGATACTTCAAGAGGACAATCCAATGATAATTTAGTGAACAGTTTACGAGGTCTCAGTCATGAACAACTTGTACACTTAATCATGGATTTGGTGTACGCGCAAGAAGATGGTACACTATGCAAGAATGAAAAGCTTCGTAATATCCTTTTGAATAAAATGCCAACTGCGGATATTCAGCCATTGATAGATAAATTGGCAATCCTCAGACAGAATGTCTACACTAGCCTTGTATTTGCCTCCAATTTGGATGATAATTCTACATACAGTCGTGCTTACTTACATATGGATGCGTTTCAAGTTTGTACAATTTTTGTTTTGGAAACATTTCAGAAAAATTTTTTTTCTATTTTGGTTACAAGAATTTAATCGCAATTGTTTGTTGAACTATTTGTTAAATCTATGCTTGTATAATTGCTTGTTACAAACTAGTAGTGATTTATTAATTTTTTTTATGTTTGGTTTCCTTAGAAAACTGTGGTTGATCAGGGAAGATTGTTGCAAGAATCTCACCACTGGGCTTCATTGATGCACTATGTATTGGAAGCATGGAAAATCACTAGAGAATTACCGGAATGGAAGAGTGAGGACCCTCATAATAATATCACACATAAATGTTTTAAGGACTTGTCGCAATTTTGTACTGAAGCTATAACAAAGGGGAATTTTGAAACGTCAGTTTTGGAGGAATACATTGAAAGGTATGTAAAGTAGGACCATTTTCAATCTCTGTTTTTTAGTACAACATTACGTAGTAATCAATGAAGTTTGTATCAGGCTTAATGTATAATTGAAGAACTGATGATGTGAATATTATTTTTAGTCTCGAGACCATAGTTGGAGAATGCGAAGATTTTCAAATCTGTTTACAGACGGCAAAAGAAGCAAAAGGAAGCAAATAAGGCTTAGGCCTTCTTTTCTAAACACCACATGTATGAGCTTTATTTTCATATTTATTATGTGATAACTAAACTAATATTGACAAGTATCTATATACAGGGTGACATAAGGTAAAATTTACCAGTGACAAATTTGTTGGACACTTCATTTTTTAGATGGAAAGAAGTTTCGTTTGTCTTTATTACTCCAAATATCTTGAATTATCCTGTATACACATACATAACGTAAAACATATATATTTATCTGATTAATGATTTTTATATGCATATAGACACGCGGATAATAAACACATTAAAACTATTATGTAACGTCCGCCATCTGATGAAATATGTTGATGAAACAAATTATTTTATATATGCCATATTCTTTAAATTCTTCGTTTTAAACTACAGCTTTAAATTAATGTCTTTGTGTTAATCCTTAAATGGGGAAAATATTTTTAATTATTAATAACCGTTACTGGTTTTAAAATACAGAAAATAAGTACAAAAATTAGATTTTTTAGTGAAAATATTTAACTTATACAAATAAAACTGCCACTAAAATTAATTAACATTTAATATTTAATAGTAATAGCGATTCAAGATTAATCTTTCCATTTAAGGATAGCTTTGATAATTTATATATTTGTTAGAATGTAAATATAAGAGTGTAACTTATTGATTTCATTAAAAGTACGTTTTGTCTGGATAATATTTATATAAAAAATGTAATTTTGTTGTAAAATTAACTTTATACGCGTCTGTTTCATGTAAAATAAGTCTGCCACAAAAAGTGTACTTCGGTATATATAGAATCGAAAACATATCTTTATTAAGCAGTTGAGCACTCTTCTATGTTGTTGCACGATGATCTTTCTGTTTATCACAATTTTATATGTGTGTTTAAGAGATTTTGGAGACTATTATATTTGTGAAATATTTTTACATATGAGAAACTATTTTTGTACAATCAATATAATCGTAATTAATATTGTAATGTAATTATATCACGACTATAACATATTTATTGTAAATCGCCTAAAGGGAAATGGATGTAGTGGATGTATTTTTTATTAAAAACAATTTATTTCGTCATAATATATCGTATTTTCTTACATAATATATTCATTATTACTTTCGAAAGGCACATATTTTATTTTGACGAGTAGTCAGAAATCCTCTAAGCGACTCGCGTTCGCATACATCACATGCCTGTACACATCTATTGCAAGAGCACACAATAGCAATGGTACTTAGAAAATTTCTGACAGCGGTATACTCGGTCGAGAGACGATCGTTATCTTGTACATGCCCATCTAAGTACTATATGATGCTTCAGGCATTTATCGAAATGGTAATACGATTGGGCATAATCGAAACGTATCATCAATATTTCTTTACATTTTCCAATATAATTGCACATCGTCGTTTGAAAAGCTATCTCGTACCGTTCATCGTGCGCATTGGCAAGATTACGTTACGCGTCGTTCAGGAACAGCTTCGCAGAATCGGAGATCGAACGAATCCGAAGGCCCTTGACATTTCCCACGCAAACAACATAAACAACGTAACAATATATAATCTGACCTCATCTAAACTTAAGCATTTAGGTGAAGCAAATTAAATGATAAAATTCGCGCTGTCGATGCTCACGCGAATTACAGAATGACCCAGAATCGGTGAAAAATGAACATATAGCATTTGTGAAATTACGAATCGATCATTTTTAATGAAAGTATCGCGCGCGCGCGAGAAGTTATTTTTTTTTACAACTAATCAGATCTCAGTATATTTAACTTCTTAATGACTAAGCCTTAAAAAATAAAATTTTATATAAATACAAAATTTAATTAAAGAGCGAGAAACGCTGTTTGATAAAAGTCGATTCTAAATTTCACAGAAATCACTATCTGTACACTTTTACCAATTGTAGACAATCTATATAATAAACGTTTTTCTTTCTTGAAACAATTATAAGTTGCAATATTCGAGTATAATGCACATTAAATACTCATATAAAAGATTTAACGACTTACAAGTGTGTAAACAGTACACGAAACGTCTCACTAATACTTTAAACTTTCGAATAGAAAGTTAAGTTGAGAATATACGTGCAACTACTATAAACCATGGTAAATGTGGTAAAATCGGATAGTCGAATTGTGCAATGTATATTAAAACATTCTGTTGAAATAATGTGAAAAAGAAAAGATTCATTAAGAAACTAATTACATTGTTCTATGTCTCGGTAATAATTACAGATGAAGTGTGTTTGCGCGATCGTTCAACTCGCGGATTATGGCAAATTGTATTTGTTCGCTGAATAAAATCCACGATAATAAACAAACAATCCTTTTCTTTTAAAAATTATTAAAAAAAATTAATATACTGCAATTAAAAGATTACTACATTGTTAAAAAAATCAAATGGATTCCCGCTTTGCGATATCCATGTTCGCTCGGATGGCAATGGGATGCTATTAAATAACGCTACTAATATGCCTAATGTGTCATATGATAACAATTAACAAGATAAAGCTGCAAATCGAATACTGTAATCGGATATCCTGCGAGCACGAAATTCTTTAGTCAATCGCTTTTGCGGGCTGCACTCTGGGATATAACTGAAACATACAACACAATAAAAATTTATTTTCTGTTTTCTGCATTGTAAAAAAAAATAAAAACAATTTCAAACATATAATATCTGACATACAAAAAGTTTGACATACAAATAGTAAAAAATATTTTGCGTTATAAAATATATATTCCATTACATTTGTATATTTGAAAGTTATTGCGTTTTATTTAAAATTTATTCTTATATTTAAAATATTATGTCTAAAATTTACTTTTTACTATTTAAAACTTCTTTTCATATTTAAAATTTACAGTTTGGCATTCAAATACACATCTATTTCTGAATATTTATAAGAAATATACTTTTTAAAGTACTTTATAATTTTTTATATAATTTAAAAAATATACATTTTTATATTTAACTCTGAGAAAGATTAGAATGATTAATCAATTAATTAATTACCCCTAATAGATTCCGAGGTACATAGCCTTCTTTGTGTCCAAGTTTGCTCCACCACCATTCCCGTTCGTTGTCGTCGCCCTTCCGAAGTACGACTACGGAATCGCCGTTCTTCAGCAAGAGTTCATCTGCGTGTTGCGCTTCGTAATCGAAAACCGCGTAAACTTGACCACTATTTATGATTCCCAACTTCTCTTGGACGCCTATATTAAAGAAAAAGAATTTTCTACATAAATGAAATTGCTATTGTCATCGATTTTAAGATTTGTCACAACGATACTGACTGTACAAATACTCGGAACATCCATCGAAGCCTTCCTCGTCCTCTTCGCATTTCTCCGCGGCGGTCTCGTGATCCGAAAGAGTGGTCGCGAAGATGCACGCACCGTGTTCGACCAAGAATCTCACCATGGACAAATTGTTGCAACTCGCAGCGCAATGTAACGGTGTCCTGTGAAAAATATTTGACTTTAATATTTATTCCAATTAGGAATATACATCTTGCAGATAACTAATCATTTATTTAAAATGATATCTTGCGTTGTAGTATTACATTCTTATGTTTCCTCATTGCAATTTTCCAATTTTTTTTCAATATATCCTTATATAATTAAAATCTCATTTGAAACTATAAAATCTACTCGAAAACAACTAAAGATCATAGATTTTGTTATCTATTCGATTATTCATCAAATTGATCGAATTTTCTTCGCGCAAGAAATAACAGTTATTTAATTTACCATCCATCGCTATCTTGGGCGTTGACATCGCAGCCGAACTCTACGAGGAACTTGACGATCTCAAGGTGACCGGCACATATGGCATTATGCAAGGCGGTAATGCCCTCATCGTTGGCGGAGCTTGGATTGGCGACCTCTTTTGCGGTTTTCTTCACCAGCTCGAGCTCACCCTCGAGACTGGCGTCGAGTAATAGCGCCAATGGGTCAAACGACACCCGTCTCGATAGATTAACCTTGCCTCCGCTATTCCCCGTACTCGATGATTTAAGGTTTCCTTTCTTTCTTCTCATCACTTCCGATATTTTCCCTCCATCTATATCTAATTCGCCTCCGGTGCCTCCGGTCAGCTCCGAGTCGGTTTTCATCTTCGTCGGCTTGTCCTCGATGTTGATGACATTCAGAGCGTCAATGATATCCGCTTCTTCCAATCGCTCGCCGTCACCGATATCCTCGCTGAGAATACTCTTGCAATTGTCTGTGGTGTCGATGTTTTGTTGATGTTGCTGCTGCTGTTGCTCGGTTTGCATGAGATCCGCCGGAATTTCCGTCTCCGGGAATAGGAAGGCCGGGGGCATTTCAATTCGTCGATTTATCGAGACGTGAACATTGGATTTGGCGTATCTCAGCTTTGGCTGCTCCGATATCGGTGCCTTCTTCAAGGTCAATGGTCGAGCCTTGATGAGTTGATGATTGCCCAGTTGTGTCTCCGTGGGAGATTCTGGCGGCTCCGACGTGGGAATCGGCGGTATATCCTCGTCCTTATCCGACCTGCAAGAGATTTTATGATATTGAGTTTGAAAATTAGAAAATTAACCGCATTGTGTTGGCATTCTTTATCACTACGAACATAGATTGACAGCAGCGATTGTTAAATTAATAAATTATTTTATTTTTGTCTGGTTAACAGTACTAACTTAAACAATTTGAATAATAGTTGCACTTTTAATCGCTACTACATCATACAAATCTCGAGAAAACCAAAATAAGAAAATATTAACAATGAAATCGCGTGATAAGAGAAATATTACCTCAGCTAGAACTTACAACTTCGCAACAAAAAGGAAACCAAATATAATTTGTAGCGCCGATATCCCATCCAAAATTTTGTAAATCCAAAACGAATATGCCGAGTCGTTGACGAACTGCATACAAGTTGCAAAAAACATGAACAAGAACCAGGATAAAATTATCCTCCAAGTGTTGCGATTTAATTAAATTGACGGTTAATTTGTCTACCGATATCAATCATTCAACAAACATGTGTTATTAATAGCTTTCTAATTAAGAATTAATTTCCGATTGATCGCGTGCGAAATTGTTGACTGGCGAACAAACGCAAGCATCGCGTGTACCACTGGTGTATACTAATCGGAGAACTCGCGAGCACTAAGAGCAGCACGGACCCACGTCGTCTCCGCGGCATACGATTCTATTTCGGTGTCTATTATTCGAGACTTCGATTCACTGGCCAAATCGATCGCGAACTAATTAACATTTATAATTAACCCAGTAATCTTTTTGTCATTCCGCAGCGCGTGCGAATCGCTTAATGGATTCCTCAGTGATTTCGTAATTTTCGTAAGAAGCGAAACGAAGACGCAGTAGTATAAAAATGAATAGGATTCACAAGCTCGTTACAGACATAAAACTGTGTAATACAAATGATACAATTTCTTGTCTCTCAATAAATAGTTTAAATTCGAATTGAAAATAAATTACTCGTTAGCAATTTTTTATGACGCAAAAATTTTCATAATGTAATTTTTAAGTTATTATTTTATTTATATATATATGTATAAAATATTTTAACTAAACATAAACCACTTTTAGAAATCTCTTTTTCGAAAATTGTTTCTCAATAAAAATATTCAAAAAAATATTTTTATTATTAATAATTGATGAAAAAGTAATCTCAATTTTCAAAGACATATTATATTCTATACTGATAGCTTTTCTAATCGAAAAGTGCAAGAACAATATGAGTTCATAATTTCTAAAAGAAATGGAGATATGTATATTTAGCTTCTTAAAAATAGACTTTAGAAATAAATACTTTAACATTACGACTATCTTTTTATGTGTGAAACTTTAATTTAAAAAGTGTATACAAACCTCGAGTTGAGATTTGTGTTGACCATCTTGCACTCGTTGATTCCCTCGGATGACGGCACATCAATTTTCTCGTGGTGAGTCAGTCTCGGTGGCGGATTCGGTTTGCTCGGTTTCGGTGGCAGCGCCGGTTTCGTCTTGTCCTCTATTCGCAATTCATTAAAAGTTTTCCTCTCACTATTGTCGCTGTTCTTCGTCGTCGGTCTGCTATCGAACTCAAACGGTCTTTCTGTTGTTTTTACAGGCATCTCGAACTTGACGGCCACGTGATCGGCCACATGCTTTGTTGTGGAGTTCTGCTCGTATTTGGCCGGCACCTCGAACTTATTTTGACTGCTCTCGTACTTGTTAGACTCCGATTTGTATTCCGCTTTATACTGGGTGATATTCGAAGGATCGTGTTTGAATGTTGGATTATGATCATATTTAGTTGGCAATCTTCCCTCGTGCTGTTGTTGTTGCTCGTGTTTACCATACTGTTGCGAATTCTGACAACTGGGCTCGTACTTAATATTAAGCAGGTGTTGTTCGTGCTTCGCTTGATTTCCGGTCGGATCGTGCTTGCCGCTCTGTTGCTGAGACTCATACTTGCCCGTGAGATTCTGATCGTATCTAGTCTGTTGCTGTTGCTCGTGCTTGTTGCCGGATGATAACGCGTGCTCGAACTTATCCTGATTCTTGCCCGAGGGCTCGAACTTGGCTTTCTGATTGTTCAGGATCTGATTCTGCTCCTGATTTTGCGCGAGATCGTTGGAATTTGGTAGCTGCGACTGGTTGTACTTCTGAGTGGAATTGCCGAAGCTCGTCGCAGCGATGGTACCGTGAAGATTCGATGAACTCTGCACCTGATAAACAGCTGCCGGTGAAGACGCATGAATGCTCGTCGTCTGATTCGGATATTGCTGCTGCTGTTGGGCGATGGAGTAGCCATGTCTGTAGTTCATTGTTTCCTGATTCCCGATGCCGGCTTGCACCAGCTGCGTGGTGGCCGCTTGCTGCTGATTATTGCCGATGTAATTCTGCGCCGCGTTGTTGTTATGCCCGCGACCCAGCAGACTCAACGTCTGCGGCATCACCGGATGGATCTTCGTCGACGAAGTCTGATAGATCTGCGACTTGACGGAGAAACTCGGCGCCACGCTCGACACCGGTTTCTGATGACCGCTTGCGGTCTGCTGCAGGTTCCGATGCGAATTCTGCGCGGTTTGCGCGATCGAAGGGACGGTCACCCCGACGAGATTCGACGTCGTCGACACGCCGCTAATTCCGGTCACATTGTGCTGCTTCTGCTGAGCACTGCCATTCTGATGTTGCTGCGTCTGCTGCTGTTGCTGCTGCTGATGACCCTGATGAAGACGAAGACCTTGCGACAGATTATCCGGACTGAAGCTGTGCGCGTTGCCGCCCATGAGATTGTTGCTGTTATTATTATTGTTGTTATTGTTGTTGTTGTTGTTATTGTAGTTGCAACTTGATTGGATCGTCGTGGGCTGATTGCCGAGATTTTGATTGTGCTGCTGCTGTTGATTGCTTCCTAATAATTGAGATTGCCCTAAACATTCGGCGACTGTTAGATTCGTGTAAAATCGTGAATTTTATTGATAAAAGAAGAGGCCATTTTATTAAAAAAAAATATATATAGGAAATAAGGAAAATGATTTTGTTATATTAACTTTCAGATAAAAAGAAGCCCTAAGTAATTCAATTTCTTTAATGTCTTAAACGTTTTAATATATTGCTTAATGTGTAAAATTGTACATAGCTGCTTGATATCTCACATAATTATTTTACACTTTAAATAATTTCTTTTTAAAACAACCATTATGTATATAATCATTACATAAGACAAAAATCAATATAGAAACAATTAGATTGACAGAACAAAATAATTTGTTCTGCAATAAAAAATCAATTCTTACAGAACGTTTTTTTTTTTTATATTCAGAATTATTCTTTTAGTATTCTCAATTGACGTCACAAATGTTACATGCGGCTACATATAGTTTTTCAAAGAATAAACGAGATAAATAAATTAAACGTTAATTGACATTATTCAAGAATTGTCAAAAACTCCGCTATTTTCATAAAAAATTAAATTACAAATTATGAAAACATTACACAATTTAACGTTATAACTTAATACAGTGCTTATACGAGACACAGCAAGCACTCACCCTGAATGTGCGATTGCGACTGGCTGTGAACAATTTGGTGTCCATATTGCTGAAAGGTCGGCCGCTGCCCCAGCTGGGAGGCGCTTGCCGAGTGTTGTATCTTGTTTTTGTTCACGTCATCCTCTATGGTCTTGAAGTTCACCGTGAACTTGGTGTTGTACGGCAGTGTCTGGTACTTGGGGTCGTTCTTATTCAAGTTGAAATCGTTGTCGTTCGGTATGTGCGAGTAGGGCTCGATCGCGGCGATGTTGCCGGCCGGTCGCAGCTTGCCGCTATTGTTGAAGCCGTCAAGCTTCGTGTCCGGGAATCCTGTATTGTTGGCGCCGCCGACACCGCGTCCGCCACCACCGCCGCCGGGGCCCAGTTGGTGCGTTAACCGCTGATTCAACGCTCTCTTACGCTGAAGCCGGCTCTGGAGTTGAGCTATCCGCGCATCTATCGATGCCATCTCGGCCTGTCGCTGCGCCAGGGCTTGTCGCTGCTGGGACACCACCTGGTTTTGCTGTTCGTTCATCTTGTTGCGATACTGCACAAAAATTGGAAAATCGTATATTCGCGCATCTCATCTTCGCAATTGTAAACTTAGAAATTAATACAAGTTAAAAATCAGATGTGGTGAAACTATAACAAAGATCAAATTGAAATCTTGTTAAGAAATGATCGTTCTATCCACTTTTGGAATATTCTCAACTATCCCCTGTAGATATCATAATCATTGATGCATTAATTAGCGCACAAGGCTGAAAATGAGCCAATTACGGTGATATTCCCGTGCGAGCCCTTTCACGAACGAAGCCGATTCTCTCGAGACGGCGTAATCGATGACGCGAGCTTACCATAAGCTCCCTCCTGAGCTTCTCCAGCTCAGCGCTGGCCGGTGTGACCAAGTGTCCGTTGCTAGTAGTCCCTGTGAGACCGCCTCCAATGCTGCCGGCGCTTCCACCACCGGCGGGAGCATTCTGACGACCCCGAAGTTCCTCCAGCTGCCGCGTCAGCTCCTCAACCTTCGCCACGGCCAGCGAGAGCTCCTTCTCCTTCTCATTGAATAGGGCTCTAATGCAGTCCAGATCAGAAGCTGCGGAGCAGAAAAAAAATAATGAAAATAAAATAAGAATAAGACAAGAAGAATGAACAATAATGCACAATAAGTCAATGGAATTAAAAAAGAATAATAAGCATAAAAAAATACATTCTGTGGAAGCTATAATAATTTTTATTATTTTTCATGTACGAAAATGATTCAGTAATTGTATATGTTGTTAACTGGTTTTATATATAATTAATTAATACATCGTTAATAATTAATACAATTTGATTAGTAGCTTCAGTTATTTATTATTTAATATATTTTGACGCATAAAATACCCAATCGTTTAAATATTTTTTATATATAATCTCGTATAGTGTGTATTCTATATATAACCTATATTAGATATATATTCAAATAATACTATTTAAAAAAATTTTTATAATATTTAGAACATTGTATACGCACAAAAAATGTCACGGAGGTATATCGAATACTAAATCCGGAACTACTGAAATAAGCGATATCCGTTTACATGACCCGTAGCATTCGATATAATAAATTAGGATTTTCAGGGCTTAGATCCAGCACCGTTGTGAAAACAAGTGCCGGGGGATGACGTCGTATTAACAGGCGCATTACTCATCGCCGGGTGACTTCCCCAATATACTTTCCTAGATTCCATCGCCGTATCTCATCTTGAGCGTCAAGCACAGCGCGGTATCCGCGCCTCGTAATTCGTATCAGATTAGAAAGTTATTGTACGCGCGCGATGGACCACCAAACCAACCACATATTGCTACACGGAACTCCATAATCTCTCGTATTGGCCGTGATCTGCCCTGACCTGGAATTCCATTATCGAATTCTGGATTGGTACCCAGTCTCTCTGGCTACTATCTATCTGCTCAGGAACTACAGCCTTTATGATCTTTCATTATTTCCTGACGATCCTAGCCGCCATCAATCGCGATCGAAATTGTCAACGCAATTCTAACTTATACGAAACCAATCTGCTGATAGATCTCTGTACATTCGACTCGGTGAAATTACCGAAGTTTTGCCGAATGATCTTCTTAGTCAAACAAAATATATTACAGTTGAGTTCTTGAAGAAACAATGATCAAACAAATGGTTCGTAGCATATCATAAATTTCTGTAAATACTTAATAAGAAACCAGCGAAGTAATATATTTAACATTACAAATAATATAAGAAAAATAGATATTTGGAAAAAAATTCTCTTTCAACTTTTGCAAATTTTATTTTATTTCTCATACTGCTATTAAAGTGTAGTTAACGACATAAAGCCAAAAACTGTTATTGTTTGTGCTAACCGCACTGCGAAGATAGCGACTACTCGTGAGTTTTTCAACAGTGAAACAATCTCTTTCGCTACTGAATTAGAAAAAAAAAATGGGAAATCGATTGGAACTCGGTTAACTTTTACTAATTCTGTGATAGAACGACGCTGGGATTTCGAAGCTATGAATTCAAAAACTAATCGGCTTTTGTGTATCAAATAGATAATTTGACTCGACTTCTTTTGTTTATCGACTGCAATCCATTAAATACTATCGATACGCATTTTTGGCAACTGGCATAGATCGAGCAACACGTGTCCAGTTACGTGGCAATGAGTTTGCCGATCGAACAAACAATTAGAACAGTAGAAACGTATACCAAAAATAAAATTCTAGCCTAATATTTAACAAACTCATCACGCTACACGAGCAATTTTGAATTTATTTGTTTAATTTTCGAGAATTGTCTTCGATCTTTTAGAATAGAGATTTATTAAAAGTTTATTTTATTTATAAAAAAATATATATAGAATCAACTATATGTGATGGGAATACGCAAGAAAGTTAATAGTAGATGGTTGATGAGCGTTTTGTGACTGTACAAAAGGGTCAGAGATCGATTCCTCCCGCGTAGTTTAACTTTGACCGAAGTTGAATTTAATTTAGAATCAATTTTGCCAACACCGATTAACTTTAACAGTAGTTCAATTGTCTCTCTATCTCTTTCAGACAGAACGCGAAAATAAGTAGCGAAACAATAGAGTTTCAGTTAAACTGTACTTAAATTTAATAGATGTTGGTGTAATCGATGCTAAATTAAAGAACTAATTATGCCTTGATAGTCTCATCAATTAAAATTAATCCGGATTTAACTTATCATTACCCTCCACTTTTATTTTTAGAAGGAGACAGAGAATCAATTGACCACTATCTTGGTTCACTCAAATATATTGGGGGCTGTGTACGGTATTTTTGAAAAGCGTATAAAATAATAAATATACAAAAAAATGTGTTTCCACAGTCTATTTTATTATTAAAGACGAGATAACTAAAATAATAAAGACCGAAAACCAGTTACGATCACAGTTTCGAGCAAAAACGCTCAACGGAAAAGTGGTTAAACCGCAGTTTAACACGCATTTGTAGGAAACTCGAAGAGATACGATGGAGCTTTCGTATGAAAGCCAATCGCTACTGGTTTTGCAAAATCAAGTGTCTCTCATTATGCATGCCGCCCACCTATTCGCATTACTCGGGAAGGGGGATAACATGTACATAAAGTCCGCAGGGCGAATATATTCGTGGAAGTATCGAGAGAAGCGCGCGAGTTCTCAACTTTTTGGAGAATGTTCCTTGAATTCGTTTCCCAAGAACGTCACGTTCCATCGTTAGTTTATTCAAAGACAGTTTCGGGAACCAAAATGCTCCTTGAGATCTCTTCTTTTGGAAAGCGGGCTTTTGCCTTCGTTCACACTCGTTTCACAATGTTTTTCTCATCTTAAATTTATAATATACTCTTGAATTTACAGCAGACTGTTTCATAATCTCATTTTTAATAACAGGTTCTTTAATTAATTTAAAATCGAATTTTCTGCCTATTAAAAATTGAAAAAAACCAGCTAATAGCTACCGTAATTTTTTTTTTGCGCACATTTGCTGTATCCGCTCTTCATTTTCGAATGTTATTGCGCGTTTCATTCATTCTCATTAAAGTTCCATTAGGTATGTGAACATAATAAAGTGAAAATTGCGTACTTTGTCTGCAATGCAAATATCTACCCGCTTCGCTAATAATATCGTGTTTCAGTATTAAGACTAAAAAATATAGCAACGTAAATATTCAAAATAATACATATCGATTCCACAAAAATGTTCTTGCGCTTGTATTTTCACAAAAGAATGTTTATTTTCGTTATTTTTAAAAATTCGAGTTTTCGTATTCGATGCATTTTGCAATCTATTTGCGACGTGCGTGGAAATGTTTTTTAACTATATCCTATATAATCGGCCGCTAAAGTATCCATCTTTCTCCGCTGAAGAGCAATCTACATACGCGTTTTCCATCGATCGACACCCCGCGCGTGCGATCGAACGCGTTCTGTTTTGCACGCGCGAATATGTGTAGGATAAAGCGACGCAATGCGCGGCGTTAAACAATAGATGCATCCACATCGCGCCACGTTGCGTCGCTATAAATGCACGGCAAATGACACGTCACGTCGTCGTCGCATCGGAATTTCGCCCGGCATTCACTCCAACATCGCGATAATATTTAATTTCCCTACGTCAAGCCAGCTAGTCCTCTCTCCCACATACGAACGATATATAAAAAAAGTTACTCTGAACATCGAGAAAAATCCTTTCAAAGCTGCAAAACTTTAAATATTGAAAATGTGAAAACGTTATCCTCCGCATCATAAGACTTGTAACTCGACGAGATTTGACGTTAATCTTTTGAAAGTTTTTCAAACATTTTATCTGGAAATTTTAGCAATCTTATCTAGAAGTTTCAGAATAAAATACAAATTTTTGTAATAACCTAAATGCGTTTATTACATTTTTTTCAATAGCAACATTTTTTAGACACCTATTTCTGTAAATTTATACTTGTTGCGGTTTAATCTCTTTTTTGCCTCAAAAACAGATATAATCCATTGTCTTTTAACTAAAAAAAACTTTTTTGTCCCAGGAATGAATAATTTCATGCGAAATAAAGATTGGTAGAAAAATTTCATGAAAAATTTTTCATTTTATCTCTCACGGTATATTTTTTGATTTTAATCGATTTTGAAATGATGATAAGTTTTACAAAGCTCGAAATCGGGAGACCTGAGAGAGATATGCAAAACTGATCAAATTTGCTAACATCGATGTGCACATAAAATCCAACATCAAACTACGAGAAAATGCGCTATGAAAATGCATATGCGTGGGTTTGCTATGTGTCGGAGACTGGGATTTCAACAGCTGCCTGGCATTTTATCTACGATTTTAAATGTCCGGTGTATGTCCGAAATCTTCACTCAAGTACCAACGTTTTATTCGTGCACAATCTATGTATATTACTTTTGTAATTAAATCACTCGGTATTACATATCTTCCGGTTTTAATCCTTATGGCATTACATATTTTGCAGTAAATTTGTGCAGAGAACTGATTATAAAAATGCCAGGTCTTTTTATCATTTAATTATTCTCCATTCTCATTTCATTAAATGAATAAAATAAATTATTGCAGCTATGCGGAAATATGTATATATAGCCGCGCTTCTTACTTTCTACTTTTTATTATATTTCTATTTTTAGTAAAAGTATAATATTATCGAATATATCCTCCGTAAATTAAGAAAAGCAATTAACAAACAAAATATTTTGTGCTACGAAATACATAACGTTAAATAGATAATATAATTTCTTGATATCGTAGTTTTTATATTATTATCTCTTATCGTTTTGTTTAATAAAATATATGGATAAATATAAGGTAATGCTCGTAATACTAAAATATACTCCTAACATTTATGTGCAGTTATTATTTAACTGAAAAAATCTCGTTCTCCCTTCAACAAGAGTCTGGGATTCTATCATAAAAATTATATCATGTGTAGTGCGTTCCATTGGGTGTGGTCACATGTATTGCGTGTCAGGGCCAATATCATGTAACATATGTACGCATACAAAAGCTAAAAGGGAGCGTCGCATTTGTTTCGATCAGTCCTCGAATTTCGCATTGAAACTTGCTCGAACAAACGGGATTGACGTTCACATAAACTAGTTCGAGTAAATGTCAAGCAACAATCGAATAAATCGCGCAATCAATGCAATAGATTATTAATTGATTCAATTAATTACGGTTGTTATTATTGCGATATAATTGTTCGCCGCGTCAGCGCTTTCTCATCAGTTTACTCAATAAAATTAATATTTGTTCAAGCGAGAGCATGGTCAGAAAACGCCAGAAACTGCTCGTTCAAGCAGGCTTTTATTAATTTTTTTCCATTGACTAGTTTATTTTTTTCTATATTGACATTTACTTTCGTATGTAAATAATTATATGCGCGATAGTTCGTTCTGTCGATGAACCATGTAATTTCGATGGACAAATAAAGCAAAACAACGAAAGACCGCATTGATTTTGCGTAGCTCGATAGACGAATCACGTTAACGAATTAAGAAGTACTTTCCGTTTCCCGTGCAATTTCCTCCCGCTTGTACGTTTCGGTATTTGTCCGAGAATGATTTACCGGCCGATGCAACCGCGGATGAGTTCTGCGCGATTGCATTCGATATAAGCGACGCGCGCGGTCGGCTCGGGTCAGATCTTTCCAATTTATTTTCCGAGGATGATTCTCAACCATGAATAGCGAGCACGCGAACCATTTTCGAACCGTCGGCTTATATTTGGATTTCATTTATATATCGGCAAAGTACCCCGGGGGCTTGGAATACGCTCGATGTCGCCGATCGTGCCGTATCGAAGATTAATCGCGCTCCCCCAATGTGAAGACAGATAAATCTCCCTTATCGCGTTTACCGAATCGAGATGGATTCCCACCGAAATATCCACCAATCTACATAAATAGATTGGTGGAACGATGATCTTTTTTTTTTTTTATTACCGTGCTTACTGCAATTTAACGCTTCTCTGTGTTTCGTATTTCAAAGAGAAATAAATTGAAACCAACGAGCATGAGATAATTTTGTGACAAATTGAAAATGTTAGAATAATTTTAATTACATTCTATATTTCTTTCTTAAAAGAGTAATTTTACAACGTTTTTCAATCAAACCCAAGATTCTTAAACATAAAATGTTTTTCATCATATGTTCTTTACTTAAAAATTATATAATATTTCGGATAACAAAAAATATAAAAGGTAGCTAAAAAGCGCTGTAAATCTTTTGTAAATACTTTTTACATTTTTGTATTGCATATTAAAATGAATATTTTATACATGTGCGTATACTGCAAGTCAATTCTGCAAGAACGTTCAGACATCGAAAAAGCTTTAGATATGGTTAACTTCGTGCATTGCATACTAAATTAGTTCGCTGCGTGTTTCAAGTCTGTCGGGAAATCCGGTGGAGGTGTATGTTCGCGAAGAGTTTCCTTATTCGAACCGGGAGATTTCTTACCAAATCATTTGAGCTTGCAGCAAATTGCAACAAGTTTTGGCTATTGAAACTTTCAAGACTCTGCGAAAGACAGTATAACACGAGAAAGGTGGTCGGGTGTCGTGATTGTAAATTGAAAGGGTCGAAAAGATTTCTTATAGTTTCACGGTGTAAGAGTTTCATAAAGCTTCCGCGGACTATCGGAAGAAGTTTTATAGATTTTTGACAGAAATATATATCGCTGGTTTGTCGAAAGAATCTTAGGGTCAAGAATCAGGATATTGAAACGTAAATCTACATTCTTTCTGCATTTTCCAAATTTTGTGACGAGCTTGAAAAAGGTCCTCTCATGCGAAGATTTGAACGATTGTCCAAACATTATTTTTTCAGCGGAAAATTAATTGGAAATACTCGTTGTTCTGTTTCCGTTACGTGCTTTTACATGAAAACGATACACGGCGAAGATATCGTATAAAACTGCATACCTTTCAATATCGCACAAATCACAGTATTAACACAAATACAAGAGAAAATAATTGTTAAAAGTAAAATTGTTATTATTTTTATAAACAATTAAAAATTGTAAAGAGTATGCAGAAATGCAAATATTTTTTTCACGCTAAATTCACGTTAAAGATACTTTTACGTTTTTCATTTACAAAGCTTACATCACTTTTGCAGTTGCGTACTTTTTAGACTTCAGACGTCAGAATATTTGAAAACTGTCATCTCTCTCGGGAGAGTGCTATGGATGGATCGTTTTTCCTCTTATTCGCTCGAGCGAGCTCACGGTGTGTTGGTTTATTAAATGAGAAAACGCGACACAGATCCCGGATCATTATAACTTTTTCAGCCAGAGGTGCTGAAGTAGAATCGACGGTTTTGCTGTCGCGTCGATTCATTAAAGAATTTCTGTAACAAAGCGTGTACAGCGGGTTTCACCCTTTCTTTCGGAGCTATTATCGCGGCAGCCGCGTGTCGCATTGCAAATCGCAGCTATCGTTTTACATTGCGTCGCATAGGCGTAACGATCTGAACAATGCTCAATTAACAAGGTATGTACACGTGAGCCAAACCATGCATAGCTTTTACGAATTGCATTGCAGTGTGGCGCGGCGCGTGACGACATGAACGCATCCATCGAATCCACAAAGGCGGATAGATACGAATTGAAATTCAAAAACTTTGAGAATGAACGTTTGAACCATTTCAATTTGCAAAACGAACATTTGGAAAAAAACGTATTCTGTTTCTCCATTAAATTAACAATTTTTTGACACGTATCTGCGTCCCCGAGTAAATTTGATTTGAAAAATCTGCGCCTTTCTTCCACAATTTTCATCATGAACATTAAATCAATTTTTATTTACAACATTACAAATTATCATCTCAAAGAGATAGAGTATCGAATAAAATTATTGTTATGTTAATACTAATTCTTTAATGACCATCGGATTTGTGTGATTCTTTGATTGATGGTTCAAAAGCCACTTCTGTTTATCTCAAAGAGATATTATAGGTAAAAGTAAACTTGTATAATTAAATAAATTTAAATGACACGTATTTTCATTTATGTAATATGTACCAGACAGATATTGAATTTCGAAGGATTAAGAGATATGCGAGAGAATTGTTGATAGACTTACTCAATGTTGCATTGTTGACACGCGACTGGTCGGTCTGCGATCTGAGTAATCGCAGTCGATTCAGCTTGCTCTGTTGCTGGTCCAGTTTATACCTCAATCTGGCGAGTCTGTCCTGCTGTGCTGGCTCCTGCCACAGTAAACAGCGCATAAACGCAATTATTATGAGCATACGGTGAATACGGCTAATGATTTGTATATTCCGAATGGGAACAAAATAAGAAATCAGTTGAATTATCGTGGAAATTGTTCGTGTTTGGGAAACTTATTCAATATTGATAAGAAAACCTTTTAAAAATACAGTATGTGAAGTGAATTTTGATTATTCAGCGTTTATTAATTTTCAATATGTTTACGTGCACGCGTATTCATATTTCAGAGAACGAATCGAATACTAAGAATAAATCGCGAAATTAATTCGTGTCAACTTTGACAAAGTAACAAAGCGAGATGACATGTAATTTCGGAGAACAGATCCACCGGGATCATATGTGACGTCTTCGAGAGCGAGGCTGCTCAGGTCGTGAGTGTCATCGTAACGGTAACTACACAACAATACTACCGGTCTCCCTCACTGTGATCTTCGCAGAACAATACGTGACAATCATTCCGATTATCGGGGTTGATGATATTATAGGGGTGACTCGAAAATAAGCCATCAATTTTACGAACGTATTCTGCGATTTCTCTCTCCTTCGCAAACAGTCGGTGTTTCCATATTTAGAGTTTATTTAGCGACGCGAAAATTTCGCGTGTTGATAAAAATGACGGGAGAGAACAAAACTCACCTGTGCGCCTCGAAGCACGGCTAAGCGGGCCTCTTTCTGCTCCAGGAGGCGCCTTTGCTGAGCGATTTCCCGCTGTTGTCTGGCCGCCATGCTTTCAAGCTCGCTGAGCACCAGCACAGCACCACCCCCGCCCACTGCTAACTGAAACAACAAGATTAAGTGCACGTAAGCATATGAATGTGCCGGTGTGCGTTAATGTAAAGCGAGAACAGTGATGACGAACGCGCGGGCAGATACGAGCGATAAGAGATGCGGAATCGGCAATTAATTATATTGCGAATATCGACTTTTCAATCAAGACCCTTCATTGTTTCCTGACCTTGCACAATGTCGTCCAAGTTTTGCAGAATGCACGTGTCATCGACGGGGTATAAAATAATCATGTGTTGCGATGGTCTCCAATAAATCTTCCGCTGGAAATATTTGTAAAAAAATATGTCGCCAAATTTGTGTCGAATGTGACAGACCAAGTTTTTAGCTTTTTTACTTCCACGTGTTCTATTTATCGAAAGAGTGAAAAATTTAGAAAAAAATGTATGTCGCACCGATGCAACATTAATCCATCATATATTGTATGTTAAAATTTTCTCTCGATGAGTAGAAAATTAAAATAATATCGATTTAAATTTCTGTTTTGAACCTTGCGCGTCATATTTATATACGTAAAGAATAAATTGTTAGCATATCTTTAAAAATAAAACATAGGTACATGTGTTGAAGAATTTAAGTAGACAACTGGAGAACAAACATTTCAACAGCTTCATCTTTCACAGAGATCTAATTTAAAAGCAGTATCTCAATGAGATTAATATTCATGTACTGAAACGAGATTTTCCCGCTTATACCGCACGCGATGAATAATTAACGGTTTACTTGCCAAGAAGTGAAAATCATTTTCATTTCCGAGGTAAGTTTTTCGAGCTACATTGTTCAGGCATTTTATTGAGTATTAGGTGCCTTCTCCAAGTCCCGAAAATCCTTTTTTTTTAAAGTAATATATAAGAATTGTTTTTTCAAAAATCCTTTTCTTCGTATATGAGGGAAGATGATGCGTAATACGACGCAGCGCGCAAATCCCACTGCGTCTCGAGTGAGGAGAGCGCTGGACCGATCGAGAGATGTGTGCGCGTTCGTGCCTCTTTTTGTTTCATCTCCCGTGTACCACCATCTGGAGTGGACCGGCCGCGCCGCGCCCGATACCAGGTAGAATCTCAAGGTCGGTGTGCGGCCCTTCGAATTCCATCGCGACAAGGACTTCGCGTAACCTTCGTACGTCAATGAAAGTGTACCTTGACGACGAAGACGGTCAGCGGCGCGAAATAAATGCGTCAAACGAAACGCGCGCGATGGAAACGTCGTGACATTTTCCGATCGGCTGCCCCCGCAGAGAATCGACCGTTGAGCGTCGGGTTTTTCTTTTGTCGTTCGCGATTTCGTTCCACTTTTTAACATCGATTGAAATAAAATGTATCCATGCAGAGTGCACGCTTGCGTTTATTACATTTTTAGATTTACAAAGTGCAGGGGTATAAAAGCAAAACTCGCGTTCTTCGCTTTCCGATATTTGCAGAGGTTGAAACGGCTTCTGACGTGTACAGCTTTGGATAAATTTGTCCATGCCTTTTCTTACCCGATAATTGAATTGAACGATGTCAAGCACTTTTGATTGTACGTTTATAATTGGAAACAATGTACTGTAAGATAAAAAAAAAAAAAAAACACTCGTAATTCAATATCGAGAAAAATATAAAAGACCGTAGGTCTTGCTTTTATATTTCTCGAAACAAACGTATCCGAAGCTACTTCGCGAGTTCGAAAAGTTCACCGTTTATACGGTTTAATGGTCGTGAACAACCGGAAGACTCCGACCATTAGCTGAAAGTCCGGCAAAGTATACGGCTTGAGTGTTGTTCCATATATATTTATATATCGATAACGCCGGGCTATGTTAATGTTAATTATCAACGAAATCTTCGTGCAACTACGTTCTGCAGCGCGCGCGCGCGAATCAGCGGCTTCGAAACAGCATTTACAACGAAAGTATCGCGTTGCTCGAGACAATAACACGACGTACTATGAACGAGGAAGATAATACAAGCGCCTTCGGGGCTCGTCGTTCCAGCTTCTGCCTCTTTTCATTCCGCGTACGCTCTCTCGCGTGACAGTTAATTGTTTCGAACTGGCTGCGCGATCGCGGAGAAGGACTGTAACGAAACAGCGAACAACGCGAGATGTCGGACGTATTGCAATCGCCAAGAGAAATGAAAAGGGAGTCATTTTCCAACGGCTTATGTGACAACAGAACGAGCGACTCGCCGCCGATCCCATTCAATTTCATTATCCTGACTTACCGTTATGACACACAGCGCAGAGAATACAGAACTAACAATAAGAGATATCCATTACTCTTCTTCATCCATTATTAAAGTATATATCTTTTGTCCTTTTATATAATTTCAGTAATATAAACATGTATTTTATCGGTAATAAATTCTCAAGAACGATACAACTTCTTACGGCACTAGTCTCAAGTAGTATTTTCAATAAAATACAATTGCAATAACGTTTTGCGTCAAATAATTTCAATCGATTTAATCATCCCCTTGAAAGAAACATTAGGAAAGGAAAAGGTAATCCCGGACCAATAACCAACAGAATTCGTTTCCGTACGTGAATGGGCGGGAAAGTTGCGAAAAGATGTTCCCTCGACGAACACATAAACGAAAAAGAATTTCTCATAGAAACGAATTCTTGTAGGAGCGGATAATCCCTCGGGGGATAATCCACCCGGACGATCCCCCTGCAAAATTAATTTCCAAGAGTCTGAAAACAGGTAGCGCGGAAGAAGCCGTAACGTAATCGGCAGTTTGCTCGCCTCGGCGCGTCGCGGCGGTTGCAGTCAGGCTTTTTTTCGGATGCATTCATTCGCGAAATTAACGAAAGCGTGACTAGTCATTTCTGTATGGAAGATGGAAAGCGACAAGTATAACTGCATAATTAATTAATTTTCCATACGCTCTCTTCTCTTCAAGTTTTCTCTCTTTTCTCGATTATAATTGCATCTTAATATAATTTCCTGCTTACACAATCTCGCAATATCTCAAATTGAGAGAGAAATATTTCATGTTTTTTTATAATCTCGAAGTGTTCCGTAAAATTTTTAAATCATTAAAAAATTCATATTTTACGATAGTGACCACAGTTTATCAAGGGATTAATAAAACTGTGAAGAATATAATAATTGAAACGAGAGCACATACGTGCAAGCCTGTTCTCTTTCAGTTATTCGTTTTCCTACTTTCTGCAATTAAAATAGAACAACGCTGTCGCTTTACAAAAGGAAATAAGAAACAAAAACGAATGTAGAAAGTAGTTAGACTTAAGCATGAAAAGAACGAGCTCGCAATTATACGCTTACGCGACTACGTATGTTAGTACGTGAATGAAGATATAATTATGAGAAATTCTGTGAAATATTTATATCTGACCATCCTTAAAACTGGAATATCTTAGACACGTATACCATATTTTATTTAGACTGGATCAACTACAATTTTCTAACGATGATCTAAACATAAACTACTGATGTATATATTTAAAAAAATATTATAGCGTGTACGTCGGATTTTCAGCAAATTTGCAATATCACTTTTAACCCAATTTTAGTAAAATATTAATATTTCGCAAGAAGAGAAATACTGGATAAAATACTAGGAGATTTAGGTTTTCTTAGCTTATATTTATATTTCTAGTACGTTCTATAATAATGCGCACCGTCAGAATAACAAACATACTTTGTTTACTAAGTTCTACATACTTATTTATACATGTGTAAGCTAACTCCGTGTCGGCAGAGCGAAAAGCGAAACGACGAAGTGCACCGAGTAGAACCTTACCTCGTTGCTTACTTGCCCGCCGTTGCTACATTCCGCCTCTGTGGTGTCCGGAGTAAGTTTTTCCTTTACCGCGACGGACTTGGACTTTCTCTTCGATTTTCCAGGATGAAGCTTCACCGCTACGGTTTTCACCTCAAAGTTTTCCCGCGGATAGACGCACGCCAGCATCCTCGCAATAGCACGAACCAGCAAAACCGCGCGCTCAACCAAGTTCCGCTTCTACACGATTTACGTTAACGCAAAAACCAACGTTGTCGGATGCGTTTTCGTTTGTTCCCCTTCACGTGCTCTCGTGGAAACGCTATAGTGACAGCAGTGGTTTAAAAAGAAACGATACCGCGTTGCGTTGACAAAACTGCGAGATTACATCGTGTTGTTAATCTAGGGCAGTATATCCCGAATTTTTGGGGCGAGGAAAAATTTAGGAGCTACACACAGATCACTAATGATAATAAAAATTATTTTGAAATTCTCAAGATTTCTTCTAGACAGCAAGAATAAGAAGACTAAATTCACTTTTCTAAGGGTGTGTTCGAGGAGCGCGCTATCAGCGCTATTGTGTCATTCTATCCCTGTTTTATGTCTAATAAGCGATAAAGATAGAATGACGCAAATAGTGCTAATAGCGTTTCCCTGAACGCACCCAAAATGTAAAATATTGAGAATAAAAATATAAGTTAAAAGCTTCGTTTCATTTGTCTCATTCAGAACTTATCTAAATAAATATTACTTCAATTAAAATTTTACGAAAAGATTTTTCAACATCTCAAGAGCATTCTGCCATCAATTTCGTTACTTTTCACATTTCTCGAAAATCGTTGCCGATTATATAAATCCGATAATTTTATAATTAAAAGTACTCTTGCAATTAGTAAAATGATAAATGACGCACCGGCGACAACATGAAGCAAATGAATATTATCTTCTATTCTTCGATATAATTCTATATAATTTGTCGTAATATAATTAATTCGTTAATTGGAATGGAAAATTGTTAAAAATACGATATTTCATATTGATTTGATTCATGCTTTTATACGCAATAACTTTCTTTTATAAAAAAGATTATTTGATTTCATGTAATGATATTTTTCATTGACATAATTTTAAAAATTTACAAGATAATTTCTTTAAATAATGTTTCATTTTTTTTTATATTGAACAATCCAGAGCGGTTGAAAAACTTTGATGGATTCTACTTGAGTCTATCTTCCCTCAGACAATGTTAAGGACACTCTTCTGTAT